GGAACCAGGGGCAAATGTAACCTTCAGAACCCTGCCTCCAGTGCTGCATCAGTTTGCTCCCCAACCCCACCCCTCCCTCCAAAAGGCTCCAGGACCTCCCAAAATACAGCCACCTGCTAAGAAACAAGCATTCAAAATGGGAGCCTGTGGGGGCATTAGGGGACAATGGTAGCTCTAGATCTTCTCATGTCTCAACTCCTTTAATCCTCATCATAACCCTGTGAAGGGTCTGTTAGGCACAAGTGGGCTCTTTGGCTCCTGAGAAGTCTGCTGGGGTGTGGCTATTTGATTCTAGTCTTTTGTTTGTTTTTTCTGTGAAGGCTGTCCTTGAGTTTCCTGGTGGTAGCACAGCACTTGGCTAGTGAGTGGGACTTGCTCAGTAAACTTCATTGTCTGGCTACAGGATTGTAGGTCAATATTAAATATTCTGTATGTTCTACTTAAATGAGAACTGTATCTATTGAGTCTGTTTTGTAGTCTGAAACTTACAATACACTAGGACATAAGCTTATATCTGCTGGAATAACAAAAGGTCTGAGAATTCTACGTAAAATATATTATACAGATAGCCATTCAAAGCACTAGGTAAAGGGGGAATTATTCACTAGTGGTAGGAACCTATTAGAGGTGGGGAAAGGTTGTGTTCTTTGGGGCTGGGGAGATGGTTCAGTTGGTTGCTATGCAGACATGAGGACCTGAGTTTGATACCTGTATCTATATAAAACGCCAGATGTGGTGTGTGCTTATAATCTCAGTGCTGGGAAGGTGGGTCTGGGTCTGGGAAGATCTCTTAGACTCACTAGCCAGCCAGCTTAGCCAAATCTGCAAGCCCAGAGTCTCAGTAAGAGACCCTGTCTCGAAAAACAGGTGATGGCTCCTGGGAAATCACATTTGAAATTAAACTCTGGTCTCCACAAGTATGTGCGCACATATACTCACATGTGTGTGCACATGCACGCACACACGCACAGAGTTGTATTTTTTATATTATCTTCAAGAGTTATTAGGCTCAGTGTTATAAATATATGAATTATATTAATCTATGCATCAACTACAATTCCAATCAAAGTCTCTAGACGTTATTTTGTAGAATTTTTTAAACCAATTATAAAATTCACTTGGAAATACAAAGCAATAAAAATCAGTAATCTTGTGGTAAACAAAGGCATAACAGTTACTGGGCTAGGTTTAGACTACAGTGTTTTATTTTGTTTTGTTTTAGAACATCTTTTGCTATGTATCCCAGGATGGCCTTGTACTCACAATCTTGCCTAAGCCTCCCAGATCCTAGAACACACACACACATGCGCATGCACACACACACACACATGCACACACACGCACATGCACACACACAATTGTATTCTTTGTATTTCTGATTCTTATGTCAAAAAGAGAAGTTGGCTCAATGGGTGTAAAGTGCTTGCTGTACAAGCCTGAGGACCTGAGTTTTATCACTGGGAACCCACATAAAAAGCTGGAAGCAGTGGTGTGCATCTGTAATCTCAACACTCTTATGCTGAGGTGGGAGGCAGAGACTTGACCAGAAGCTCACCAACCAGCTACACAGTGAGGCAGAGACAAGAAGAGAGACCATGCCTCAAAAACCAAGGTGGAAGACACGTACCAGCTCTCAGAATTGTCCTCTGACTTCCACCCATGCACCATGGCACATACGTGACCACAGAAAGGAAGGACAGAAAGACATTTAAACATAAAAAGAATTCCAAATGGATGAACTTTCTTTTTCTGTGCTAGAGGTTTTGAAATCAGGACCTTGTGTATACCAGGCAAGTGCTCTATGAGCTATACCTTGAGTTCTGGGTGAACAGTTTAAATGTAATTATGCATCTATATCACCTCACCCTCTTTGTTTTCTTGTTCTGCATCCTGCAAGGTCAAAAATTTATTTATTTATTCATTTATTTATTTTGAGGCAGGGTCTTACTATATAGCCCTAGCTGGCCTGGAACTCACTTTGTAGACCAGGCTGTCATAGAACTCACAGAGATCTGCCTCCCTCTGCCTCTGGAGTGCTGGGATTGAAGGCGTGCCTTACCACGCCTGGATCAAAAATATTTTTAAAGAATCTTTTTGCAGGGAGATGTATGAATATTCAAAGTAAGAAAGAATAAAGCTTGCACATAGCTTCTTGTGTGATTTGATGAGACCAGATGCATGTTTAGGACAGATGTCACTGCTGGAAAAAATTTTAAACATCTCTTTGGTTTTGGAATTTCAGAATTGTGAATGAAAGACTATACATGTAAAAGAGAGAGACGTTAATGACTTATTGCTGAAAATAAGCTTGGAGACTTTACCTGTCTGTAGGAGATTGGTGTCTTAAATCCTGTCCATTCAGCCCTTTAAAAACAAATGGAGCAAATCTAGGAGTAGGGCAGTGAGATGTGTTAAGGAGACAAAATGTTTGAATACAGGTGAAGGATGAGATCTTGTTTGATGCTCACTTCATCAGGAACCATGGAGAGTGCCATCTAACTAGAGAATGGTGTTAGAATTACCTGAGGAGATTTTAAAATGCCAATACCTGGGACCTGTGCTAAACCCATTGAATTGGGAGTACAGAGGTGTGACCGGTAATGGCCTTGTAAAGTGCTCCAGGTAAGCTGGTATCCCTGAGGTTTGAGGACCACTGGCACAGAAGAACCCAGACATTAAAAAACAATGCTCCTTTTATTTTGAAGGGGGAAAAGGGAGGTGGAGGTTACTCTTTTTTTAATTTATGTATGAATGTATTGCTTGCATGTGTGTAAGTGCACCTGTGTCATCTAATGCCCATGGAGGTCAGAAGAGGGCATCAGATCCCCAAGAACTGGGGTTACAGACAATTGTTAGCAGCCATGTGGGCGTTGGGAATTGAACCTGAGTCCTCTGCAAGAGTATCCAGTGCTTTAACTGCTGAGCCATCTCTCCAGCCCCAGAATTTACTGTTTACTGTGGGGGGTACTCTTTCCAGTTTGTGATATATATATGACTTTTTTTTTAAAATAAGGGGGGAAAAACAAAAACCTTTTGTGGCCCAAATCTGATAGGACAGAACATCCGATCTGGATAATCTTGGAGACGTTTAGTGTCCCTGAGTATTACTTTAGTAAATTCAGTGCTTGCTGCCTTCCACTGACAACAGAATGAAGCCACCTTGTCCTCATTCATCCTGACGACCCAAGCTGCAGCGGAAGGCATGAGTACAAGGTGCACTTGGGCGCACTTTGGCATCTGCCTGGGGTTACTTTGGGTGCTTTGTTGCAGATGAGGCTGCTGGGTTGTTAACTCACCAATCAGGCTCCCTTACTAGGAGTTGACTGTGAAAAGGAAACTGACTTTGCAGGGCTGGGGAGATGACTCAGTCTGTAATGAACCTGCTTTGCAAGCCTGAAAACCTGAGTTCAGTCCCCAGAACCCATGTTAAAAAGCCAAGTGTGGTGATGTGTGCTTGTAATCCCAGCACTAGGGAGGTCGAGATGGGCAGACTGGAGCTTGCTGGTAGTCAGTCTAGCCTAGTCAGTGAGCTCCAGACTGATGAGAGATAGCAAGGTGAATGGCTCCTGAGGAACAGCACTCTAGGTTGAGCCCTGGCTTCTACACACACATGCATACATAAGAACACCTGCACATACAGAAGATGTCTTTTGATGGTACCTTAGTCTGTAGGTTGAAAATTGCTGTTAGATAACCTGTGCTCCTAGGGTTAGAAATGCATCTTGCAAGTGCGTCCTGTGTGGCCGTTTTTCCTCTCATTCCTCCTCCTCCTCCTCCTCCCCTAGTCCTCTACTATTTTGTCTTCCTCCCCTCCTCTTCCTCCCTTTTCCTTTTCTCTTCTCTCCTTCTTTCCCCTCTCCATCCTTTTTCCTCTCACTTCTCTTCCCATCTCCTCTTCCCGCTTCCTGATTTCCTCTCCCTCCATCTTTCCCCCTCTTCCTCCCCTTCCCCACCTCCTCCATTGCTGTCCACACCCGGCATAGATGCACTTTTGTCAGACTCTCAACTGCAGTGTAGTGACCCTCACTTGAATAAGCCACTCAAAAAAAAAGTCAATTTTCTTGTTCTCGGTGCTAGGGGCCCACATCAGTCAGATCTGGTTTTGACTTGAAGCCCTTGAACAAATGTGGTAGTTCCTGTCTTCTAAGCTGTTCATTCGTATACTTCAGCTCTCCCTGAGGCCCGTGTTTTTGTAACACATCCCTGAGGCCGATCATGGTGCAGTTGTCCTAACAGCACCTCCAGAGACAGAGAAGTGAATGTTTGAAGGACAAAGTGCTCTTATTTTGCCCAAAGTGAAAGTCTTGTTTCTACTTCAGAATCTTAAAAGCGAGTATGGTCCCCACCCTCTCACCCCATCTTTAGGCTGACCACACACCTCCCACCCTTGCCCCTGTGGTGGAGGAGTCCTCTCTGCTTCCTGGGTCTTGCTAGAGCAGTGACACTGCTCATGACAGACATGGGGCAGTGCACGTTCACCTCCAGCAGGGCCTTCCTGCTTAATAAGGCATCGTTAGCAATTTTGTCAGAAGACAAAAAGAAAGCCAAAAGCAATGATGCAAACCCCTCCTTTATAAAGATGAAGTAAAGTCCTCTCTGGAAACCCTGAGAAATGCAGTATTTCTACAATGATGTGAAAATACTGTTTGCTATTCCTGTCTATAGAAGTGAATACTTCTCAGACTATATAGGGGGTGTGAGTGCTATAATTATACCATGTTGACAGATGAGCAATCAGAAGAAATGGTGCCTCACTGAGGACTCCAGCTCACCTTGGTTGGGTCCCTGGGCAGCCGATCTGCAAGCCTCGCACGCTTCCCTCACTACCCAGGGACATAGACCTGTGACTCTAAGGGCTGGCATGCACTCTTCATGATGGCTTCGTGGATCAAGGAGCATGCGTGACAGAGCTTCATTGTGGTTGCCTTTCTGTTGGCTGCAGTCTACTTTGGGGATGGCAGTCATAGTGTGGAAACTTATTTACTTGTTTTATTCTGCAGATTCTCAACCCCGGTTTCGAGATGATGGGATTGGGGAATGGGCGGCGCAGCATGAAGTCTCCACCCCTCATCCTGGCTGCCCTGGTGGCCTGCATCATTGTGTTGGGCTTCAACTACTGGATTGCCAGCTCCAGAAGCGTGGAGCTCCAGGTATCTTGGTTATTTAGTGCGTATGGATGTCATCAACTGTTGAAAGTAGCTGTGACAGTTCCATGGGGTTGCTGTTTATTGTCAGCTAATGCCTTGAGTTGTGCAACACATTAATGGTTGTTTAGGGTTCCACGTGACTCCCTCCCCCACTCCCCCCCCACATCCCTCCCCCACTCACCCCCCACACACATCCTGGTCCTGGGGCCCAGCTCTCCATTCTAGTGCTGCTTACTCTGCAGCTGTTTAAGATTGTTGTCCAAACTTCACTCTGCTTTTGTGTTGAGCATTTGAGGAGGGCTATGAAAACAGCCAATAGAGATAGACTGGGCCAGGGCCATTCCTGCCCTTCAGTGAACAGGAGAAACCAAGGTTGTGTGGGCGGTGTGTTGGGATGATAGGTATATGAAGTACTTGTCAAGATGTCAGTAATGACCGAAGTAATCTTATGTTTCCCACATATCATGACCAATTCTGAGAGAAGCCATGCTGAGCAGTAACAGACTCGGTCTCCTCTGGGACCTCCTGCTCCGTAGCATGATGTTGACCCTACCTGTCTCTGCTCTGCATATTTTAGTCTTACATCTGCTCATCACCTCCTTTGATGTCTTAAGTCACTGGCCTGCCCTTGGCAAGTGTCTAATTAAAGTAATTTAGCAAGTACCCCCTCCCCTTGATGTGTCATTTTGGCACTCTTCCATCACCAACCGTTTCACTTGCTCTATTTATTGGTGGGGTGTAGGCTTTAGTCCTGTGTTGTCTTCATTGAGGGAGCTGGCATTGTCTAGGGATGGTGGCATGAGTCCTCAAGCTCTGGGTTTTTTTTGTAGATGCAGATAGTGGATTTGGAAGACCGGGTCCGCAAGGCAGCTGCGGACCGAGGTGCTGTCGAGATGAAAAAGAATGAGTTCCAGGGTGAGCTTGAGAAGCAACGAGAACAGCTTGACAGAATCCAGTCCAGCCACAGCTTCCAACTTGAGAACGTCAACAAGTTACACCAGGATGAAAAGGCAAGGCCCACTGTCCCTCATTGCCCTCTTCTGATTGACAGTTTCCACCTGGTCACATTCTAGGCATAGATGTGTGTAATTGTATGGAGTAAAGGTGCTGATCCAGCTTTGGGCATCCCCCAACTATTCCTTTATTTCCAGCTGGGCCAGTGAAACTTTGCAATGTCAGTAGCGAGAGCACTGAGAAGCAGGGCAGCATGACCCTTCTGCGGGCTCTGGGCCTGCTTTCCCTTCCGCCAGGCAGTGCCAGGTGCTTTTATCTCAGAGGGGGATAACACTTGTGTCTTTCGATACCTCACACACAGCCTACAAACCAAGGAAAATATTGCAACATATATAGAAAAAATCTACCTAAGATCCAAAAAATGCCACCAATTCAGAAAATGAAGGACAAATGCCCCCAAAAGATTTTTGAATGGAGGATATGAATACAAAACTGCAAAAAGGAGAAAACAGAAGAATTTAAAAGAAAAATTAAGCCTAGCGAGGTGGCACATGCCTTTAGTCCCAGCACTAGGGAGGCAGACACAGGTGGATCTCTGTGAGTTCAAGGCCAGCCCTTGGTCTTCATGGTGCGTTCCAGGCCAGCTGGGGCTACATGGAGACCCTACCTCAAAAAGATAAGAAAAAAAAGAAAGGAAAATTAATGCAAATTAAATATGAAATATATTTTATGCAAAAATATCTTACACAGGGGAGAAGACAGAGATTCCTAGATGCCATCAACAAAGTAGGGATTCAGAACATTGGCTTTAAGTTTAAAAACACACCTTGGGCCAGGTATGGTGGTGCATGCCTTTAATCTCAGCACCTGAAGGCAAAAGCAGGAAGATCTCTCTGAGTTTAAGATTAGACTGGTCTACATAGTGAGCTCCAGGCCAGCCAGGGCTACATAGTTGGATCCTGACTTAAAAACAAACAATCAGGGGCTGGAGTGATGGCTCAGTGGCTAAGAACACTGACTATACTTGCAGTAGACCAGGGTTCAAACCCCAGCACCCACACGGCAGCTAACAGTTGTCCATAACTCCAGTTCTAGGGGGTCCAACAGCCTCTTCTGTTCTCCTCGGACATCGCATGACATGGGTGTACTTACCTACATGTAGGCAATACACTCATACACATAAAATAAAAATAATAAATAAAAAATATAAAATATAAAAACAAACAACAAAAAACAACCCCCAGAACCTCAATGCACACATTGCACAGTGCTTCCTGCTCATTGAAATACCTAAGCCTCCTTGCTTTCTCTGGGGATTAGGCGATTGAATGCTCTTATTAAATTATATCAGTAATTATTGTCTTCCAGTCCAAGGTGCATCAAAGTCGTGGCCATTTTTTACCCTGACTGGCTTTGCTCTGTGCATTGCATGCTCCACTCCCTGGGCATTGGTTGTTGTATTGAAAAGGAGTTGTATCTGGAGATTTAGCAGCTCAGTTGTTGACCTAGTTTTACTATGATCAGGCACACAGCATTCTACCCTAAAATCACTCATAGGTAGTGCCTCAGACTCCTCTTCCCTAACTGATTTAAAATGTGAGAGCTGGGGCTGGCAAGATGACTCAGGGGGTAAGAGTGCTCATTGTACAAGCGAGAGAACCTGAACTCAAATCCGCACCATCCATACAAAAAAGATGTATGCGTATACATGCACCTGTAACCCCAGGGCTGTGGGGAGGAGACAGGAGGATTGCTGGGGCTCACTGGCTGCCAGCCTAGCTCCAGGTTCAGTGAGAGACCCCATCTCGGAGAATGAAAAAGTGTTGGAGTAGGGCACCCAACATCTTCCTCTGGCCTCTGCACTCTTTTGGGCATGTAACTTTCACATGTACATACACACTATATGCATATACCCTTACACACACACACCAAAAAATAAAAGTTAAGAATTTATAAATACAAGAAATGCAAAATGTATGTTTAATAGTTCAGGGTTTCTTGAAAAAGTGTATTTATTAATTGTAGAAAAGAGTGGGTTTCATTTTGTCATTTTCACGCATGTGCGTAATATCCTTTGGTCATTTGCAACTCCCCATTCTCCTCTTTTCCCACTCCTTTCCCATGAGGACTTTCCTCATCTCTAATAGTTCCCCTAGAATTACCTTTCCTCTACGGACACTTTCCCATATTCACACACTCTTCCGTCTTTTGGGAGTTGTTCCAATTTTAATGTTGCTCTACTGAAGTACTTTGTTTTCTCTACTGTTTAAATCCCCATTTATGGAGTAGGACCCACACAGTTATTATAGTGTGTACACAGACAGCATCTCCTAAAACACATATCAAGAAATACTGTTTACTCTTTTAGAGTCACAAACTGTAAAAGGGCTTCATTTGGTGTCTCAGTAGCTGCGTGTCAGGAGCAGGAGATTCAGGTAGCTCTGAGGCATCAGTGCTCCAAGGAAAGCAGGGGAGCGAGAACCTGCGTAGGCTGCGGAGAGCTGAGACCGGATAAGACTTATGAGACAGACAAAGACCAACAGGAAGGGTGCCTAAGTAGGGCTGAGGGCATAGCTCAGTGGGAGAGGGTTTGCATAGCATGTATGAGGCCTTGGACTTGATCCTTCGGGAGGGAAGGAAGGAATGAAGTGTGTGCAAATTGAAAAAAGGGGCAGAATTATGTGCAGATAGACTAGAAATGTCCATAAAGACAAGTGAGATAACCCCCTGCTGTGCATCCTGAGCACATTCTGTTGTCCAGTGGTCAAAGGATTATGGGGAGCAAGTTCATCTTCTAGGCAGCAGCTAGCATTGTGCATAACCAATGTTTCTTAATAGCCTCTGGGTTTCATTCAAAAGCCTCTTTCGGTTTGCCTTCATCCGAATTTTCTCTTTATTTTCAAAATTCTCAAAGCGTAGAATTTTCAGAAATTCTACCTGGGACCCCACGCTGGCCCTCAATGGGCAGTTAAGAAGCAGGTGCTCAATATGAGCTGTGGTATGTTGGATGCTCCGAATAAGATCCAGGAGGGACCAAGGGAATTGCCTCCTGGGATCTGGGCTGAGATGGACTCCAGGGGGTCAGGATTATCTGAGCTAATGCTTCTTTAGTGCCTGATTGTGGCTTGGAACCATCTAGAACAAGTTTTTCCTATGGGGAAGTGAGGGAAATAAAGGAGACTGTAAGAGCATCTGTCTGCCTACTTCCCTACCCCGTGCGCCTAGGTGTCATGACCTGAGTCAGTCCCCCACCATTCTCCCTCCTCTTTTCTCCCTCCCTCCCTCCCCTGCCTCTCCCTCTTCCTCTCCCTCCCGTGGGCTCAGGCTGAGCTTGAATTGGCCAGTCATCCTGACTTCACCTCCCACCTCCCAAGTGCTAGAATTATAGGTGTGCACCCCCTTGCTCAGTATTACCTATCCTTAGAATTATGTTTAGGGGCTGGGGATGTGGCTGAATAATGAATAACAGAGCTTGCCTGGCACATGTAACATCATGGTTTCACCCCAGTACTAAAGACTTTTTTTTTTTTTTTTTGGTTTTTTTGAGACAGGGTTTCCCTGTAGCCCCAGCTGTCCTGGAACTCACTATGTAGACTAGGCTTGCCTCTGCCTCCCAAGTGCTGGGATTAAAGGCGTGTGCTGCCACACCTGGCACCACCCCAGTACTAAAAACAACCCATCTGTCTATAACATGAAATGAGAGAATACTTACCAGGCAGAATCCAGCAGGCAATATGTTTCCCTCTAGTTCCTAAGCTTCCTTTTTAAAGGGGGGACATGTTTAAAATTGTTTGAGCATCCACTGGGATTGGAAAGTCACCATTTACACATTTAAGGTCAATACTTCAAAAACTGAAGAGCCACAGTTAACAGGGTCAGAACATCCAAGTCATCATCAAATATCTGTTTAAAACAAGAATTTGTTTTCATGGAAAATTCTTAGCTTTTTTTTAATATATATATTTTTATTTTTTCATCTCTTTCAAAATTGGCTGTACATTTCTAGGTTTACAGATGAATTATTACAGTTATACCGTATTGTACTCAGTATAAGCCCTATAAGACATAAAATTGAATGTTTTAACCTTTAAAAAAGATTTCCATTTCATTTTAAAATATACTGTTTCTTATAGAAAGACTCATTGTTTTTGCTAATAACACTTAGATGTTGGTGCATATGTCTCTAATCTGTATGTATCTGATGTGATACAAAGTTCTTTGAGTCTGGGGAGCAAAGCTGAGTTCCTCATCCTTTCTCTCCAGGAGGATTATGCTTTGGTCTGATGGAAGACATAGAGCTTCTGGGTCTGGCAGATCAGGTGCAGAGCTTTGTTAGCTATGTGAGTCTAGGCAAGGCATTTCAGTTCTCTGGACCTGTCTTCTCAGCTGTCAAATGGAAACCATGTGACGATTCAGTAAGACAGTATTCGGAATGCTTGATGTGGAGTAGAGTGTTACAGACTGTTAGCTAGTGTCATTGCAGCTAGTTGTACCAGTAGTGCTTCTGTGCACAGTGGCCTGGCATGAAGAGTGGGAGAAGGGCAAGAGCAAGCCACAGCAGGGCAGTGGTCATGCCCCTGGTTTTTTTGGGGGGGGAGGGGGGTGCTCTGACTTGTTCCATTTGGGATGCTTTGAAAAAAGATCACAGGCTGGGTAGCTTACTTCTCTGAGACCTGGAGGCTGTCCATGATGACAACAACTACAGATGAGAGGTCTGGTGAGAGCTTGCTTCTGGATTCATAGGTGATGCCTTCTTGTATGTGTTCACATGGCAGCAGGAGACACTGCAACACTTTTTTGGGGAGGCACTTAGTCACTCTTATGAGGGCTCTTCCTTCAGTACCAGTAATCCCATTTCCTAATGATCATGGAGATATAGCTTCGTGCTAGTCTCTTTTCTATTACAATATGACAAGGACCTGAAGCAATCAAGTTGGAAAGAGAAAAGGTTTTCTTTGGCTCCCAGTTTTAGAGATTTCAGTCATTGATCAAGTAACCCCTGCAGCGTTACTGAGCCACACGGTAATTATATCTGAATAAAGAAACAGCCTGACTC